CATCTGGTCTTATAAGTTTAATAAAAGAAATATTAGAAACACATCACAGTCTGGACATTCAAGAAGAAGACTGCTGGGTGACAGATATCCAGCAGTCAGTGACACCCTACACAAGGAGATTAAGCAGAAAAAGATAATTGCGAAAGAAGCTAGCTGTCTATAGAGTCTTGTCTGCACACTTACTATGTTAAAGTTAAATAGAGGGAAAAAATGCCACATGAATATCTATATGTTGAGAGCCCATTCAAGAGTTTATGGTAAAGAGCTAAGGCATGCACGGCAGCTGAAGTTTAAGCTTTAAGAGTCACAGCACATATCCAGGGCTAAAGCTGTCACATGCCATGATTTCAGCAAATGCTGAGCCTGAGACGAAGCAGGAAATAAACCGGACTGTTTTTCAGTGGTCCAAAGTCCTCCTTTCAAATCAAAGTAAATTTTACATGTAATTTGAAATACAAGATTTTGGAATTTGGAGGAAGAGTGAAGAGCCATACAGTCCAAGTTTCTGGAGTGAATACAGCTTAGAGAATTTATACAAAATCACCCTCAATTTTATGATTCAAAAGAAACTGTTTAAAAGTTAATGTGATACTTTTTGCATTTTTCACAATAACATTTTTAAAGTTGGAGTTTTGCTCTGCATAGTTTTTGTTCTAAATGATTTTTTAAATTTGTGCTAAACAGCTGATGAAAAGTACTGTTCAGCGGAAGGTGAATGGGCAAACACCAAGGCCGGCTTTACTGCAGAAATAAAATGCAAGGATAAAGCTGGAACAAGAAAGCGAAAGTGTTCATCTGGGTGAGATTTGAACTCTTCACTATCAGATAACATTTGTTTCCTCTAACTTTGAAAAACACAATTTATGGTTTATTTAATTAATGAAACATATATATAACATTTAATTTTTGTGCTGACTGGTTTCATTAATGTTCATTTAATACTTTCAGGGAAACTGGCCGGGAAGGGATATGGGGTGACGAGGTTTCAGAATGTGTTGAAAAGGACCTCGCTAGTGTGCTGGAAACAGCTGCAGTATGTGAACTTTACTATCATATTAACTTCCTGTCATTGTACAGAAATGAGTAGTACAGTATACTTAAATATTCTTTCAACTTTTTTATTTTTATGGAATTACTGTAAATACGAATTGTTACTATAACAATTATTCCAATTGTTACTATATCAATTATTCCAGTATAATAATATACTTCAGCTTGCTGATTTAAGAAGTTGCTGTAGAATAAACTATAATAACTTTCATATTTATTGTGTTTTCAGATTAGTGACATTGGACTTGGCAAACTGGAGTCAAATGCTGCAATAGTATTTGAACGCTTTGTAAAGGTCACAAAGACATTAAAATTACCTGGTTATGCCAACATAAATACATCGGTCACAGTATTTACCACCATGAATGAAAAGTTAAATTTAACTACTATTACAAATGATTCAGCAATAGAAGTGAGTATCAAAGCATCTTGATTTTTATGAATTAAGACATAATCAGTATGCTTTCATAACTTTATTAAAAGGTTTATTTCATTACAAATTCACTGATATATTAAACAGTGTTAAGGTTAAAAGAAACCATGATGGCTAATAAAGCAGTTTCCAACTAAGCTTTCAGCCAACTCAAAGCTTTTTGGAAAAAAGTTAAATGTCACCAAACAATTGTTTTTTTCTAAGAAATAGCCTTTTTCAATGTAGTAATCCAGATAATTTATGCATCTTTATTCAATTAAAGAGTTTTCACTAAACTTCAAATTCCTAATGCCATAAAATGACACTTCTTACATGTCACAACCATCTTCTAGAAAATGACCTGTGATTCTGCTTTTTTTCAGAATTATCTATACTCATCCAGTCATTTGCTGAATAAAAGTCTTGAAGACTCATGGAATGAAGGCACTACTGACAACTCCTCACTTTCAATGGCTGAGAGATTCATGATTTCTGTTGAGAATTTAATTAAAATATCAAATCTGACTGTGGGGACTAGGAGGGAAAATCTGCAAGTGGATTTGTGCAATACATCCAACTGCAAAATCAATGTTTTCAATGTCTCAGTTTCAGTTTCAGGTGGAGTGAATGTGAAAACAACTGCATTCAAACAACTGGATAAATATTTGCCCCATCTTGACAATAAATCAGAGGTCAACAGTATCATTGTTTCCGCAACTGCAGAAAACGCAAGTGACATTTCCATAAAGTTTGAAATGATCAAACCAAGACCTCGTAATTTTGAGCTAAAATGTGTGTATTGGGACACTAAAAACCACAAGTTTTCATCAGAGGGATGTAAATGGGGGGGTCCCTCAGACGAGGGCCTATGTGAATGTAAGCATTTTTCCTCATTTGCATTGCTACTGTCCAAGGAGCCCCTGGAAGTCCCTGGTTTAACTTATGTAACTTATGTAGCTCTGTCAGTATCAGTGTTGTCACTCGTTGTCACTCTTGTGATAGAACTGATAGTCTGGAGCGACGTAGTCAAGACGAGTACATTATATTTACGCCACACTGCCCATGTGAACATTTGTCTGTGCTTGCTGATCGGTAACCTCTGCTTTTTGGCATCTTCTTCCAACCCAGAGAGTATTTCAGACCTTTGGTGTCGAACCTCTGCGGTGCTGAAGCATTTCTGCTATCTGGCTATGTTCTTTTGGACGTTTTGTTTGAGCGCCACACTTCTTCATCAGGCAGTGTTTTTGTTCCATAAGGTGAGCAGGGCAAACTATCTGAGGTTCTCGTTGGTTGTAGGCTACGCCATCCCCTTGATCATAGTCTTTGTCACGTTTCTTACCTGCAACGGTGGAGCTGAGGGAGTATATTACTTCAGGAAGACCTGCTGGCTGGTTTATGGTGGACTTTTTAAAGGCACTTTTTATACGTTTATCATTCCAGTGGGAGCAATTGTTTTCATTAATGTGTTCTCAATGCTTGTGGTTATCATGAAGCTCGTAAGCCACCACTCAGAAATACACCAAAAAACCGACATTTCACCAGAAAAGGAGAAAGCAGCAGCCAAAACTGTTGTGAGATCCATTATCCTACTGACCCCAATTTTTGGTGTGACGTGGATCTTTGGATTTGCCATTTTGATTTTTGATCTCACAAGCGGAATCGCAGCATATGCATTCGAATACATCTTCACCATACTCAACGGATTCCAGGTACAGTCAAAATATTTTATTCAATGTAACACATAAACAAGCTGAAGTATTTGAAATACAAGTACACTCTCTTTCAATTCCAGGGCTTCTTCATTTTGTTGACCACATGCTTCGGAGACAGAATGGTAAGGAAATGAGAAACTAGCCAGATAATGATACAGCTCAATGATGCTACACAGTGTGATCTACAAATGTGTCTAAGCTGTTGTTTACAGCAATGTTAAGACCTAATATGACTAGAGTGTATACACCCCTGTTTAAATTCCAGATGTTAGAGGAAAAAACTACATTTTCCACCTTTAATGTGACATATTGTGGTTTATTCAACTGAAAAAATGACTCTTTGATTGCCTTTGTGGACACACCCTGAAATTAATTAATCTACATAATGTCTAGGTGTCATTGGACTGCATTTACTCTTTTGCGTAATGCGTCCTTTAGTGAACAAAAAAAACGGTAATCTCACAAAATGATAATTTGGAGAAGAGTGCAATAGACCCAGAGTGTTCAAAAACATATCAACCTTAACAGTAACACTGAAGAAGCTGCAAACATTTCTGGTGTGAACTGGTTGTGTTCTTATTACAATTTCCTATATGCTGGATGCAAGACAGAAAGTCCATGTAAATCCCTTTCTAACCAGACTAAAAAATCCATAACATGTGGAGCTTTTGACCACCAGTCTGAAAAGTAAGTTAACACACAAACACAGCAAAACAAGAACTGTACCCATGGTAAAACATGGTGGTACTGTATATCATGCCAGTTATGGGTTAATTCGCTGTACTGGTAGTTTTGTCAAGGATAATGCGGTGGGATGCTGACTTGCTTAAATTAAATTAATTCAGTATTTTGCAATGGTGCCCACTAAGGTTGTTCAAAAACATGAAATTCTTACACGGTGTATACATGGTTAAAAGCCAGTACTGATAGCTGCCATCTTTTATCATGATTAATCATTGACATTTTTCTGCCAGATAACCATTTTAATGATTTTCTCACCATAATTTCTACAGACTCGTGAGGCTCTGCTGAGATACATTAAGAAGAAAGTAGGTGCTCCGCAACTACAATTGCATGATACCACGGCTGTTTCTCTTATATGTCTTACTGCCATTTGTTCTTTCCTCTGATCTCCAGGCTCCAGCATCTAGTGTCAGTGAAAGCACCTCTAAGTCAGAGGTGACATGGAAGAAATGAAACCATTTTCATCTACATGTGAAACTAGTATCACTTTTTTGTGCCATTGAAAATAAATGTACAGTGTGCATTCACTTTTTACTGAGGCCGAGGGCGGATGTATACTTTTTCCCAAAGGTTTTCTCGAGATAACCGGTTAATGTTCCAGTTTCTGGAAATAACAATATCATTTCCCATTGGTTTTCTGGAGATAGAGTTAATTTCCTGATGGTTTTCTTGAATCGAGTTCATTTCCTGATGGTTCTCTTGGGATAACAAGTTAATCTCGATAAACCAAACTTTGCTTGTACCGTTGTACAAATACATGTGGCATGTATTTGAAGGATGGAATCAGGTTTAACACACACCAGTCATCTCATGATCTTGAGATGATCACAAGATGATTGGACCAGAAATGGTTTTCTCGAGAAAACCACTGGGAGAAAGCATATGCTGAAAACGTCCACTCTCGACGTCCGTAATTTTTTTATGTGATTTTTTTATTAATGTTGTTGGTAAAATTATAAATGTATAGTTAATTATTTTTAGCCTCTTTGTGTTACCCTTCGCATGAACTTGTTCTGTATGCTCCTTTAGGATTTAATGCGTTAACTCAGCTTACATAAATACCAGCTGTGATCAGATTGACATTGAATTCTTCAAGTTTTAGTTGATATATTTGAAGAGAAATGGAGCAAAAGACTCGACCTGCATGCCAAAGTGATGTTTTAGTGAAAGCTGAGTCTAGACTTAGTTTTTCTCCTCGTTCTAAAAGCAATGTCTTCTTCATATTCTTTGCTTTGCTGTAACCACTCCGTATCCGAGTCATTTAAAATACCTTCTTCACATAGTTTCTCACGGAAGTCTTGGTACTCAAGCTCTGCTCTGTAACATATTAAAAAGATTTGCAACATTAAATCAGAAACTTTTGTAAAGATTGTTCATAATAAAGCAAAAATAGGTGAAAAGTGGGCTGTGTGTCATACTTTTTAAGGAATCGAACGCAGTCTTCTTTTCCGTATATTTCGGCTAGTCTTATTGGTTTGTCTCCACAGCAGTCCTCTTTGTCCATTGGTGCATGGAAGGTGTGCAGCATCCGCAGCGCAGCCAGATGACCGGACTCTGCAGCATAGTGGGCAGCGGTCCATCCGTGCACTGTCCTCAGACACGGATTGGCTCCATTCTCTAAGAGAATCTTGACAATGTCTGTATCTCCTGAAAAAAAAAAATGCAATACAGAGTTTTCTAAAACATAAAAAAACAGGTTTAAATCTGGTCCAGTAAACACAAACTGATATGGTTTTACGGTGAATCTCATAACTTCGCCAGCCGCTGGAGAAGTGATATTGGTTAAATAAAATGAAAGCAAGACATTTGTAGCAATTAGAAAACATTAAACCACACTTTATCCTTTATGTGGACAAAGCTAAAATGCAGGATAATCTTACAGGTTGATTCTGTTATCCTTTTCTTAAACCTTTCTGTATTTAATACACCAGACTGTCTCATTTGGACAGGTTTTAGACTACTATTTAAATAGATTAAAGTAATTCCATACCATTTCAATTTGAAAGAAGGGCAAAATTCTGCATTAAGAACCATTTTTATCAGTGTAAATGAAAACTAAAGTTATC